CCCCAAAACCCCAAAACCCCAAAACCCCAAGGGAAATAATCAAGATTTATTAATAGATTCAAATAAGTCTTTAAAATAAATTATATTGAGTAATCATAACTTAGATTTCTTAACCTCAGGCAGGATCTAGCTATTATTAATTTTCACCTATTAATCATCATTATCTACTTAAAATAAATTTCTCCTTAGCAAAGCATAATCTCTAGCTTATCTTGATCGATTATACTTTTTATTCTATGATCTCGAAGTATTGCCACCTTAATCAGCAAACATTTCAGTGAACCGCTTTAATTTAATAGATTCTAATTTCAAAGAACTTGTATTAGTTTGCCTATAATTACGAAAAATATCCACCTTTTCTAGCTTTATCTAGGGCTTTCTTTCAACAGTAAGATACTGATGTCCTATGATTTTCTCGAAATCAGGGACTTGATTTTTTATTTTATTTTCTTCAATTACACTAAAATTAGATGAATGATCTAATTAGGATTTGCTTCTAAATTCTCTAGTTTATGTAATTGCTTCTTTAGAGTATTAGCTGTGAGCCTCAGACATAAAATGTTACTTATTAGCCTATCTTCTTCCTTTAGTTTCAAAGTCCTTGCTTAATTTAAGCTGAATAGGCTTGAAATCTTCACTTAAGAGGCAAAATTCATTGAAACTAATCAATCCATCCCCGCTCTGCATACGATTAAATTAAAAAAATACTTTATCAATATAAGTGAAAAGGTCAAATACATCCTGAGGCTACAAGATAATTGAAAGTTTCTCAATGCTAAACTTGAAATCATTGAAAGTCAAATACCCTCTCTAAAATGTTATATCAATTTTATTAATACATTCTGGACATCGAAGAATTTAAAAGCCTTTATAAGTTGGTCAAATTTAGCATTTACTTTGTCCCAGAAGTAATTTAAGATTTCATTCATATGATTAGTATTATTAGATTAATATACTTCCTAAAAGCTGCTTTAAGTTTACTTTGCTTGATTTGTAATTGGATCAATTTCTTCGTTCATTTCAACTTTAATCTTCTGAGAAATATAATGGTAAGTATAAAAATCCAATAGCTGGCTGAGTTTAGGATATTCTATTTAATTATCTTCATTCTTTAGCAAATCTATTAACTGATCCTAAATTATCTCGAGATACTAATTTTTCTTTAGAGTCTTTCCGATGACTTATTTAAATTGCTCTGGACTCATTTTCTCTAAATTATAAGGCAATAATAAACTTACATTAGCCTGCATTGTCTTCACTTAAAAATACCATTTTAAGATTATTCAGTCTTCTGCAATCGATTCTCAACGATATTAATAGTTAAAGCATTTAATTGAATTTCATCTTTTATTCATTACTCATCTTTATTGTGGTTTACAGATAGTCACTTGTTCTATTGATTAGTGAATAAAAAGTCTTCATTCCTCTTTGTGATTATGATCTTTTCGAGCTTTACTAGCTATGAGCATTATTCATTTACGCTTCTTGCAAGTTCTATCATTAATTAATATTCTAAAAGTAATTGGGATAATCCTTATTGTTCTTTCTATAAGCCATATCTTATTAAGCCTAGCCATTCACTTCGTGATGAAGCATGTCTTTATGGAAACTCTTGTATTTATTTTGAAGGAATATTCTTCTCATTGATGGATTTAGTAGTTCTTCTTCCTCTGTTAAAGCTAACATTTAATTTCCTAAATGATTCTACTTTTTAATTTATAAATCATTAGAAAGTCTGTTGATGTTTAAGTCTTAGAGTACCGTATTTTGCTTATTAGAATTCTCTTATATTTAAGGTAAGCTCTCAACACTTTCATTTACACTAAAAACAGTAGATATCTCTCCTAAATCTCTAATTCGTTCTTTTGGGTTTATTCTTAAACAAGAAAAATTCGATGTTGTTTTGTGAAAGCTTTATGTTATATTCATGAGTTTCTGAAGTCTTGAAGACTATTTAGATGCTTTGGTTATATTTGAAATAATTGATCTAGTATCACTTAAGTCACTCGCTTAGTTGTTGTTTATTCTTAATCTCCATTCATACAAGGGACATTATTAATTTTCATTTTAGAGTCCTTTTTCTATAACATCCACTGATTTATTTATAAGCTGTAATTGCTGTATGACTACTTTATAATCAACTTTATCAAATATTGTAGAGAATTTCCTTTTTATCAATTACTCTACTTTTTCTGTCAGAGAAATGTTGCTAATATTCTTTAGGATTTCTATCATTTATTAGTATTCTATTAATCCAGACTTATTCTTATCAAGAATTGCACACTATTACTTCAGTTATACCTTTGAAGAATTTTATTAGTGCTTCACTTAAATTAGCTTGTCTAACTCGTCCATGATAAATTTTATTTTACTTTATTTTCTGATTCTAAAATAAATATTGCCGACGGGGTTTTGGGGTTTTGGGGTTTTGGGG